ATGGGTAAGTTACATGCAAATGGTGTTATTTTGTGTAAAAAGTTGAGCAAATGTGGGTTGTGGTATCTAATTGATATCCTGGAACCAATCCTTTGTGGATACCAAGATATGACTGTAAAGGAGCAATGTTGCTGGTAGATATGGAAACCTTGATTCTAGGAATGTTAAATGACTTGGTCCAGACAATATACATAGTTAAGATTCACCTAGGCTAACCAATTCTACACACTACTGAGCTAATGAAAGCACTGTTGTCTCCATCATTTACTTACTCTCTCTTCCAAGAAGAGCAACAATGACCACTACTACCAGCATAGACAAAATCAATAGAATTAAGTACAGATAATAAGTGAATTCCATTAGCTCCTTTCTCATGGCTGTGATTCAATACCTGAGAAGAAGCAGCTTGAAGAACTGGAGGTTTATTGTGGCTCAGAGTCTGAGTGTACAGTCTATCATGGAAAGGAAGGCCTGGCGGTAAGAATGGCTCTCAGCTGTGACAGCAGGTACATGAAGCTGCTTGCTCACATCTGGGTAGACCAGGAAGCAGAGGTAGGTCGGGAAGTATGCTTGGCTATACATTGCATAGCCTGCCCACAGGGACTCACTTCTTCCAGCTAAGCTTCACCTTTCAAAGGTTATACAATCTCTGAAACACCATCCCTTGCTGGGGACCAGGTGTTCAGCACATAAGCCTATGGTGGTAGTGGGGGGGGGCGGGGGGCCATGACACATCCAGGCCATTCTATAAGCAAATAATTTATGTCATATGGACAAAATTCATAGACACATTGAGTATAGAAGAGTATGCAAGTATTTTGGACACAATATACACAAACACACTAATTAGGTAATTCCAAGGTGTATGAAAGATTGAATGGAAATGTGATATAATAAGAAGATAGACAGTTATGAAAAAGATGGAAAGAACTTTAATATCCTGGCAGCTCTGGGTTGATAACTTTCTCCCCAAATTAAGCTGACTTTTTAATTGCACTTGATGTATTCTTATTGCTGTGGATATCATTCTATATAAATAAAACACTGATGGCCAGTGACCAGGCAAGAAATAGGTTGCCAGGCAGGAAGTAGGTGGGACAAGGAGAGAGGAGAATTCTGGGAAGCGGGAGGCGGAGGGGAGAGACACTGCAGCCACCGCCAGGACAAGCAGCATGTGAAGACACCGGTAAACCACCAGCCACGTGGCAAGGTATAGATTTATA